ATATATATTTATATGTATGTATGTACAGTGCATAATAATGTAGCATTACAGTAACCTGTGATTACAGCAACATAAGAATAGCAAATATAGTGGATAGGAGCAGTTAGTAGTGGTGGCTTCACGGTTGTGGCCTTGTCTGGAGGTTGGGGCTCCGCGAAAGCGCCTGACAGCACGCAAGCAGATCGATGGCGACGTGTCCATGCTGAGCTGAGGTTGTGCGCATTGTGCAGCATCTCAGCTCCCACGGAGCCGCAGGAGGGCCGACTGCTTCTGCTTTTGTTTTTTGTGCTACGCTATAACAGGCTACAGCGAAGAACTCATGCTTTTTTGTTTTTCCCAGATGCACTCATGTTATGTTTATGTCTTTGCTAAACGTAGACTGCCATATCCGACTTGGGACGCCCAGAGTCCGCGTCCTGTCCGCGAGCGGCTAGTGATTCTTTAGTGCCTCTCTAATTCGATGCCCCTGGGTTGCTCAGGGGCCACTCTCTGACGACATGGTATCACTTTGTGGTTGACGCCATCCAACATTTAGCTGTCGTGTGTTTCACAGTGCTATCCGGCTGATTTTGCAGTTCGTCTCAACGATCTTCAAGGCTGTCCAGTAGTGGAACTTTCTATTGCGGCCTTCGGCAGTGCCATGATTCGTCATTGCAGCAATTCGCGCTTTCCCCGCCCACCACCTCAGCAGGGATGCGCTGTGTCGCCGCGTATGTCTGCCTCTCGTTCAGGAAGCTGGCAGGAGGTAACGGAACAAGGTTGTGAGGGAACCAAGGGGTGCACGACTAGAGGTAATGGATGTGCTGATCCCGCATGGGTTTCCGAAGCTTCCAGAGTAGCAGTTGTGGCTGACTGCTTAGACGTTAGAAGCTTCAGCAGCGACTGCTCTCCCTCATCAGCGGCTTTGCAATGGCATCCTTGTAGTGGGCTCTTCGGATCGAAGGGTCATCATCGGTGTCACAAGAACATCAGAACATCTTAAGGCACTTGTTCTCCGAGCCCATGGCACTTCGTTCCTTTTTAGAGCGGCACCAAAGGCCAGTCCTCAACCTAAGCCACGACCCGTCTAAGCAATTGAAGAATTGATCAAGAAGCTGCATGTTGCTACCTTGGTGCCCAACTGGTCAGTTGCACGGCTGTGCGACTCTGTTGCCTCAGGCTGCTAAGGATGTATCCTCGTGCATGTCACGACACATTCCGAAGCTCCTGCAAAGAGGATTATGATGAACTGCTTGATCTGACTTGCCTCACTACAAGGAATTGATGATGATCAACCCCACGAAGTCATGAAGTCGCGTAGCTGTCCAGCATATTCGCCCGGTGGACGTGACCTGACATTGCGTCTCGCTTTTCAAGCTTCAATGCTGCCTTTGCCATGGAGTCAATGTCTAATCTTGGTTTGTAGAACAGAACAGTCAGCAACCACGAGCCGTATAGCAGAAGGAATGCCAGGAGGAGATTCCGCGATGCTGTGAGTGCAGCTTGACGGCGCTGACGGCTGGGCTCCTGGACACCGTCGCAGGGTCATACAAGCTGCTCACCAGGGCTCGCAGCCATTCGTAGCTTGGTAGAGTTTTCATGGACCTGAGTCGCTGGGTTCAACTGCTTGTTGTGATCCTTTGCGTCGTCCCGCCTTTGAGATCCATGCTAGGCGCATGGTGGTTTTGCCCACATTGCTGCCCGAGGCCGAATCGTTCGTTGTCGCATCTGATTGCTGAATCGAGCTTAGGCAGTCTTACAGAGTCAACTGATGCAAGTCTTTTCGAGTTTCACCGCTAACACATCTGTCCGTGGGATCCGGACTTCACAGCTTCCGCTGCCTTGCCTGACAGATGGAGCGCTCCAAGACCATGCACGCGCTCATCTCAGTTCACGTCCGCACACTCTTCCTTCAAAGCATGCGTAGCCTCACAGGGGTTTAGAGTGGCGGGAGAGTGTGAAGAGCCAGGCCCTGCCGAAGACGGTCACCGTCGAGTCTCTGTCTTTGGAAGAGGACTCCAGATGCTTGGCGGTTGCATCTGAACTGATATCGTGCTTTTGCTGGGCATGACGCCTACTGTCTTCATGAAGAGCGCGCATCAAACTTACCATCCACGCCGAGTCACCTTTGCCGCAGGAAGGGCCCGTGAAGAGGCCCGGGGCCCAGAGGGTGAGTACTCAAAATCCGATGGAATTACAGCCAAAAGTTTCTCAGTCTCTTATCTTGCCAGTAGATTGACGAGCCTTCTGTCATCTCGAACCGAGAGATGGACAAGCTTTCTCATTCCATGACATCGAACACAAAGGCTCTGTCCTTTACCGTGTTTTGAGGACTATAGAAGCCCTCTTAACTATAGACGAGCTGCTATGTAAGGAGCTCCTTGATTCATTCTCCTTCCGTTCCCAGCCTATGGAATCACAACTCGGTAGTGTTTCGGGGCTGCCCGATGTCGACAAGGCCCAAAATGCCGAAACAACGGCAACTAGACTGTCTACATCCACCATTGGCATTCTATGCATGATTGAGAGGCAGCGGACGAGACGAGGTAGATCTTGTACTCGTTTGGGGATTGAGGATCTCTTGAGAGTTGATGTCTGAGGACACAGACGAGATTGTCAGCCATTCTTCAGGGGACTCATTGGGTGTTTCGTTGACTTCAAGCCATGAGATGCCGCATAGTCCTTGCTACGAGAGAAGGAACTTCCTTTTCGATGTTGCCGTGCATATGGGTGTATATATATATATGTACCATGCGATATGATGTTTGACACATGCATGTGTTGTATTTGTCTATGCACATGGGTATCTATGCAGGCGCTTATGTATATACATATGCACAAGGATACATACGTTCGTACATGCACACCTATACCTATACCTATACCTCTACCTATGCCTATACCTATAGCTAGCTACCTACCTCCCTGCATGCATGCATGGATGCATGCATGTATGTACGTATGTACGTATGTATGTATGTATGTACGTATGTAGGTATGGTATGTAGGTATGTCGGTATATAGGTATGCATGTATGTATGTATGTATGTAGATATATATATATATATATGTATGTATCTATTTATTTACAGGTACAAAATCTTTTGATGTGTTCACATGTGTGTAATATGTGTATATATATATATATATACATACACATACATGCACATACATACACACACGCATATGTATATGAAGAAGTATTTGTATTTGTATGTATACTTGTATATAGTTGTGTATTTATACATGTCTATGTCTATGTATATGTCTATGCATATGTATACAAGCTTATGTATACATACTGTACATGTCCATGTCCATGTCCATGTCTATGTCTATGTCTATGTCTATGTCTATGTCTATGTCTATGTCTATGTCTATGTTCATGTTCATATGTCCATGTCCATGTCTATGTCTATGTATGTTGTTGAGGCTCTGGACTGCTTGAGACAATTTTGGGCCATCCTTTGTCAACTCCTTGCTCGGATGGTGAGGGCTCTGGCTGTTGAGGTGCGGAAGGCATTGCCAGATCAGGCTTGTTTCAACGCTGAAGACCATGGTTCCGGACACGTGCCGGCGGGTCCCGACGTGTCCCGACGGTCGGGTCCCGACGGGTTGCAGTGGTTCCTGACGACAGGTCCCGATGGCTTTTGACAGGTCCCCACAAAGGCGTGCCAAGTCCCCGCAATTTAGCTTCCGTGCACCCGTCTTTCTGGTCACACGTCTTCACCCCACATTGTAAGTATGTACGTACGTATATGTATGCATGCATGCACGAATGTATGTATGTATGCACGTACATGCATATGTGTATGCGCACATTCAATGGAAAGAACGTACATTGAGACGTGGATGTACCCGACTCTGAAATTTGATGTCCATGAGGTGGCCTCCGATTGCCCGTGCCGTTGGCCAGCGAGGCAGAAGCTGCCAGGTTTATTGTGGGGCCTCTCTGATCCAAGAATTAAAGCACATAAGTCCGGTTTTGCTGAAGTGCCCTGTTCCCTGCCCTGCATCAAGAATCTGTGGCTGGCGAGTCTTCTTTCCACCTTTGGAGCCCTTGACTCACTTCGAGTTGCTGATGTGATCTTGTTTCCACCGTTCTCGAAGGCTTAAAAGCTCTGTGACCATATCCTGAGTATCAGAAACCTGCTCAGAGTGGTCGGCGGCTGCATTGAGTGCTAAGAACACCTTGTCGGGCAAGACGGTGCCGTCGTTGCGTGATGTGTGGGAGTGCAACGCCACGAAGCTGCACGCCGAATAATTGCAGATCATGTATATACGAGTCATCACGGGCATCCCTAAACCCTAAACCCAAAACCCGAAAATGACAGTTTCAGAGAGCTGTACAGCCTGTACCCTGTCATTTTGCGGAGGCCCTGCGGCTGGCGGCCTCTCTGTGGTGGGGAACCAGAGAGCGTCGGTGCTCTCCGGCAGGGTTTGGGACTGGGCTCTCAGTTCGGCTTCAAGGACCAGCAGTAGGAAGAGCCTGAAGTTCACGCATACTTTGGGGATTTGAGGGGTGATGCTGAAACATGAAACGGCAAGGTTCTTTCGCTCCTAGGCCCGCCTCCCATTTCGTGACCCACGCAGGTGTCCCGCGCGTTCACCTCCAAGTGCACTACCAGGTGAGGTGTTTGCAGCCGCTCCCGACTGGTTCTCTAGCGCATGCTTCACTCAACTTGGACATGCCATGACCTGTTAGAGCGGTTTCGAGCTTTTGCGAGTCTGGCACGAAGCCGAAAACACAGTATTGCTGACTCACTTGATGCTGCGTTGCGGTGGCTCCGAGCACCGGAATTCTGTGGCTTCCCGCTCGAAGTGCGGGCGCCGCTGGCCTAGGGTTCACTTCACTCTCGGTCCGGTCAAGCTTTGTGAAGCTCGCAAGTCCAGTCGCTTGCGCGTTTATCCAATTGCTGAACACTGTCGCACCCGATGTTCACTATGGCCATATCAGAGCAGACCGAGAAACTCGTTGCCTGAATTTGGAGGCCGACTGCCTGAAAGGCTGCGTCGGCTTGGAAAAGCACTGCCCGGACGCCGTGAGAACAGCTCCATTGTGCGAGGAGATCCTGCAACCTATAAGCCTTTTCCTCTTGTTGCCCCATGTCCGGGCAGAGTTTGCAAACCTTTTCTGCCATGTTGAGCTGGCCTTTTTGAGTTTGCGCCATGCAAAGCGACTAGGCTGCAGCCAGGTCTCGACTTCCAGCTGGTACTTTTCTTGAGCTTTCGCACGGTCTCCGTCTTTTCTTGCTCGGCCACGAGGTTCCATCGAAGAACGCTTCTATATGTACATGGACTGCTTGCATCCTCAATCGCGGCAAGTGTACGCACCGCTATTTGCTTGATACACCAGTGAGTTCGGACTGGCACACGAGGAGCCCAGTCGCTTCCGCAGCTCGAAACGCGAACACGTCCAGGCGTGTCTTCGCAGGCTGCCATTTATAGCTTTCAGTGCATCTAGTTGCGTTTCGGTCCAGGCGTTTCGCTCCAGAGCTGGCCAAGAGAAGCATGCCCGGGATCTCAGTTCTGCAAATACGTTGGTTTTGAGAAGCACATGATATGTTGTAGCAGGTAGATATCTGTAATTTGAAGATAGCGCTGGTTTAGCAAAGCCTACCGAGCGGATCCGCTTCGTCCGTTACCCATGTCTGACTAGAGTCAGGAGGGAACGAGAGGGAGGAGAGGCTGTCAATGCGCACCTGCTTGGCTCGTAGAAGTCGGCGAAACTGCTCGGGTGATGCTTCTCTCATGGCTGCTGGCGCTCATCTTTTGCCTCCGGGCGTCTTTTTCGCAGGAGGTGCCGAAGTCTTCGCCTTCGGTCTTGGCTGCGGCCGTTAGTGCAGCTGCCAATGAGCATGCGGCAAGCGCGAGAATCCTGACGCTGGAAGCTCTGCCGGTGGCCACTGCCTCTGAAGGTTTAGCAGCAAAGCCTGGGAAAACTGTGCAACCCACAGCACCTCCATCTCTTGCCGACACGCTGGCACTGCCGGCGGTCGAAGCAAGTGCAGCGATTGCAGCTGCCGCCATGGAAGCATCGGTTTTCGCCGAAAGCGTGGCCATGGGCGAGCTGCAGCAAGCAAAGGCCAGCAGAGAGGTGCCGGCGACCCCTGCGACATCCGTGCCTGCCCGACCTGGTCCAGGTGCACCAGCTGGCTGCTGGCAGGATGGCTACACGCCGGAGCTCTGCTGCCGGGATCCCCCCGTTGCCAACTGCTGGGATGCGGTCTTCACACGCCAGCGCTGCTGTCCAAAAAAGGAAACCCCTGGGGCCGATCTCTCCTCGTCCCACTCGCTGTCAGCGGAGGTGGCAGCGGTGGTGGCCGCCGCAGCCGCGCGGAATGTCGCCTCCCAGGCGACGGAGGCCAAGGAGGTTCGGAAGGAGACCCCAAAGCACACGGCCGGCGACGTTCAGACGGAGAGCAGCGAAAGCCCCGGCGAGGCAGCTGAGCAGCAGATCTTTTTGCAGCAAGAAGCGCAGCGCCGCTGGCCTTCTTATTTCAACCGAGCCCATGAAACACTGAATGCTGCAGCGCCCTTGGACTCCAAGGATCCGGTACAGCTGTATCATCTGCTCTATGAGACCATCAACCAGGTAGTCGGTGGCCTTTCACTTGCGGCTGATGCTGCGCAGAGCACTTCCCAGATGAAGCAAGCATTTCTGAATGCTGCTGTGTTGCTGGCCCGCTTAGCCCGTGCAAGCCGCGGTACACCGCTGGAGCACGAGGACTTCGCCTCTCAGTCCGCCGCAGCAATCGCACTGGGCTGTACAGGTGGGGATCCGACTGGGCCACAGTGCAACCTGGCCGAAAGCCTCCATCAATTTGCAATGTCACCAGACTTGGACGTCGACTGGCTTCAAGACGGGTTGAAACAGCTGAATGCGAGCAAGGTTGCTGGGGTCGACCACGCGGAGCGATTCCGGCGCATCTGGCTGATGTATTCTCAGGATCCCTCTAAGGCCTTGTGGCGGCCAGCAGGCGTGTCCTTCTTCGCAAGATCGATCACCAGTAAGAGGATAATTTAGCCATGAGAACTGTTTCTGCTGATACCACTATGGAATCTTCGTCGCCGGTTCCTCTTAGGGCTGACGCTCTTGGGATTGAGGCTGAGGACTTGCGTCCGAAGTTCGCTTCGGGGGTTTAGTCCTTCGTGGGTCAGGTTTGTTGGCTGGGGCCAGGGCAGCGTCAGCTTCAAAGCTTCGCCTGTCTCGATTGTCTTTGTTCTCGGCAAGAGTCGAAGCAGTTTAGTGGTGATTTGGTATTGTTTTTCTAGTCTAATGCACAGGAAACCTGTGACAGGTCCGGATGGTCATCAAGGGGGGCGTACGAACACCTACAATCCCTTGGAAGTGGGTCAGCTTCAGCAAAGTGTGCGCGGCTCCGGAAGCATCTGGCAGCTCTTCCCAACGTACATCATGGCTCGGGAGATTGGGGGTCATGTTTGGCCAAGAAGAATGGAACTTAATATTTTACGTGAATCTCGGAGCGATGAAACGGATGATGTTCATGAAACTGCGTGCCAGCAATAACCAGCCATGATTTTGTGAGGAGAGACTGAGCTCCCTGTCCTGTTGCTGCAGTGCTTTTCGGCCTTTTGGGGCAGCTCAGTCCTGCTTCTGGCAGGAGATCGGGCATGCCTTCACTTCTTCGAGGACCTCGCAAACCTGCATCGCGTGCGAGCAGCTTACGAGCATAGTGTTGCTCAGATTTGCCAGCCCCACTCTGCCTCAGGAGTAGCCACCACTAGTAGCTAGTAGCAATTACCACCGTTCGCTGGAGCGAACTAGAGCTTTCATCGCAGCAGACGCGACCAAGGCTGCAAAGATACCAGCAGTTTCGGGACGAAGGCTTCGGGAGGAACAGCCGCCAGGATGATGTCAACAATGCTTTTTTCAACTGGCAGCTCACCCACGACGCAGAGCAGGAGGAGGAGGGCGCGGATGTGTGGCCGGAGTTGTATCGAGACTCTCGGGACTTCCAAGAGCTTAAGACGCTCGTAAAGCTCTCGTCTCTGGAGTACCTCCAGCAGATCTACTCCGAGAAGGCATTGTCCAAAACAGATCTGGAACAGCTCGAGCTCTCGATTTGGGCGTCGGTGACACCTCCGACGCAGAAGCCCCAGCAGAAGACTATGGGCTTGGCATTTCATGACCACCCGCTGGCGCTGCTCAGCGGCGTCTTCTACGCAGAAGCAGGTGGCGAGCTCGTGGCAGACCGCACGCCAACGGTTTTTGCAGATCCCCGTGGGACGACCCCATTTCGCTACACACGGATGCGCAGCGACGAGGGGGAAGCCACGGTGGAGCCCACGGCGCCCTTCCATCGTCTGGCATATGCCCATCCAAGAAACGGTCTATCTTTGGTTTTCCCGTCCTGGCTGGTCCATGGGGTTGCGCCGCATCGGGGCCCCAGGGATAGAGTGGTGTTCGCTTACAATCTGCACACCGTGCCTGGCACAACGCTTGCCAGTTGGGCAAAGACGACGCTTTGAGCAGTCGGATTGAGAACCCTTCGCGGTTCCCGGGCACATGCTGTGCTTGCATTGGGGAAGCATATTATGAATCGTTGTAAAGCCGTTGCTTGCGACAGACGACCCGAACGACAGTTGTATTGGAGCCTGGTTCTCTCAGCTGCACGTGAAGCACCGCACGCATTCGACCTGTCGTCGTTGAAGGAAGCCGGCATCCGGAACAAAGAGTCATGCTGGTCTCCACAGGAGCTCTCTGATATCCCTGCGAGACTGTGGGCTGGTATCCGAATCCGAACTGGCAGAGGCACATAGACCGGGGCAGTTGGAAGTGGCTGATGAAGGAAGGTGATGTGCCATCTCCGTGATTTGGTCTTGAAGTTGGCTTTGAGGGGTGGCCGCTGGAGCCGTCTCATTCTCTGGCATGAGTCTGTCATTTTGGGAGGAGCGTATGCCTTCCCTAGATTCTCGCAGCATGAAAGCCCTGCAGCATCAAAGTCAAACCTCCGTCCGAAGGAAGGGTGTCCCCGGTGCGGATCCTTCTCCGGGGGTAGATTCCGCAGCTTGCGATGCATTACTGGGGGGACAGTGTGCAGATCCATGCTGCCTCAAAAGATAACCAGAATTCGCTTTTGCTGCATTTCGACAACCCATTGTTCGCATTTCGCAGGATGGAGGATTTCAGGATTGTTGAAACCCTTTGGTCACAGTACGATGTTTCTACAGGCAACCCATCCGGGATCTCTAGATTGAGGGGGTTTATGTTCTGAACGCTCTGGGTTTTTTAACCTGCCGTCGCACGTTGTACTTTACTGCAGCTGTTTCTGCTTTCCGCTTCTCAGCTATCTCGGGCACGTTGCATGCAAGGCAGAGAAGCGCCTCTCGTTCGGTGACTAGTGCACATTGCAAAGCATCTTATGACCCTTCGTTCCAGGCTAAGCTCCTGTGAAACAACTCCAGCCTCAGACAACTCAGTCAACTTCAACCCTCTCAGAGATGCAGTTTCTCGGAACGAAGCAAGTTTATAAACCGCAAAACCCTAAACTGTGTAAGCCGATGAGCCCACGAATGGGATGAGTGAGAAGGGGGTAAACTACTACCTGCCTACTAAGGCTCTAGCAGTGGGAACCCTCATGCAGCTGGAAGAAGGTGTCAAAAA